TCGTAGGCAGTAGTGCTGGGGTCTGAAGCTGCCAAAGCAGGTGTCCACGAAGGGCATCCTCCGTCTGCTGTTGTGCAGAGCAGCTCGGGGGTAGTGTCCTTGCCAGGGATTGCTGAGGATCCGCGTCTGCGCACGGGTTTGCTCGGGCAGCTGTTGCTGGGAGGAGCGGCCGTGGCCGTGATGGGAGGCGTGCGTGTACAGCGCCGCTGGGATAAAAAACGGCGATGTACGCAGTCACGAGCACGCTTGTGTCGTGCTGTGAGCCTCGGGTACATTGAGTTTAACAAGAGTTACCCTATTATTGGTGCCAGGGGAAAACTGGCCTGGTTTGGTTTAGCACCCAACAGGAGGAGGCAGGGCGGGTGTGTAATTTTTGTTTGCATCGACTCATGGGAAGAGTTTTGCTGCTGCCTGTGTCGTGCACAAACAGTGACAGCCGGCAGTGCGGAAACTTCTGTATTCGCAGGGGCTCATCTTTGCAAGCTGCTGAGAAATTCCTGGAAGTGTCAGGTTGAAGGGGGTGTCAGAGCCTGGGACTTGCAGGATGTCAGAGCCGTGCGTACATCAGAGGCGCAGCAGAGTTCCTCCTGCTTGGGTGGGGAAGGCTGATGGGGCTCTGCCTGCTGAAGTCAGTGAACTGTAGTCTTGCTGCCTAGCAAAATGTTGAAGCATTTCATGCCAAGTGTTGATACACTGCACTCAGTATTGACTGGGGACCTTTTAGAAACATTCAGTATAACATAATAGACTAATTCATTAGCACCCCATGGGTCTAGTAGTGTAGAAGCTGAAGCACATGCATTGCAAGCTAGGAAAACATTGCCTCAAGGAATGGCAGATTAAAATATCTTTCCCATGATATAACTGTTATTTCGGGAAAGTGGCATTAATTGTGATTGCTTATCTATTAATTTATTATAATTCTTCTTTTCCCACCTCCAGGCTGTACCTACACACGAAATGTACTCTAGGCTCAGCTGGGGCTGATTAATAGGAGGTTATCTGGGAAATGCTTAAAGCTGCCTGGAATAGATAATGGCAGCAGGGGTAATTAAAATGTCTTTTGCATTTGAAAAATAAATTTTGCAGTTTGTAAGGGTTAGTTTAGTCTGTTTCTTTCCTAGAGGCAAAAAGATAAATTGGATTTTCAAAATCACACAAGATTCAACGGCATACTAGATAATAGGATCCTAAATAGAAACAACAGTGGCATGCCACAAAACCCAAACCAAAATGCCTCCTGGAGTTGGAGAAGAACTGGCCCGTGTTTAATGAGAGTGGAGTTAATTTCAAGCTGAGTTCTTCTCATGCAAAATAAACCCGCAGCACTGAGCTATTGACCACAGCAGGGCTGCTCCTGATCTTAAGGGAGACCGCGATGAACACACAAAACCCAGTTGTGACTCAAATTTGGTCCCATCAGATCCTGACTGTGGGATTACAGCCTCGCAAATTCACACATTCGCTTATCTTCCAGTGCGTGGGTAGCTGCACTGGAATCAAAATGACTGGGAGGGGAAATAACACCAGAGCCTACATCTGTGCAAAGCTGGAGCAGCTCCCCAGGAGAGAGCCGGTCCAAAAGCAGCACAAGCAAAGCCTGACATCGCTCGGGATGGGCACCCGGCAATGCTGCGCTTGCAGAGATGTTACAACCAAACCATTGTGGTCTGATCCTAACCTGAAGCTAGGTCCAGTCGTGCTCTCACCTTCTGCTGGGGTACCAGCCCTCCCTTTCCCTTGCTTTTCCCACCCCACCGCTTTGGTGCCCTGTGGCTGTGCGGTGCACCCAGGACAGGACATCAGTGCTCTCCTGCGCTCGGACCACCTCCTCGCTTCCCATCCGGCTCAGCAGGGAGGGTAAAAGGTGTTTGCACAGATGAGATACTTTACCAGAGTGGTGAAGATGAAGTGGTAGTATTCCGTCATCATTCCCATTGCCATGGCCTTGAGGAGAACAGGGAAAGGAGGTTAGTAAGAGAGGGTACAAGGATACAGCAACAGTCATGCAACATAAACCTCTAAAGAGCTGATCTGGTAGATGCAGCAGGAGGCAGACCCAGAAACACGGGAGCTGGGTTTTGGATCGGCTCCATGAAGCATGTTCTGGGCCATCAAGAGGCACGTGCCACAGTGCTGGGCTGACCTGTGGTCCTCAAACCCTTCTGAAACAGCAGCAAAGCCTCGGTGTCCAGCTGCCCTGGGGCCGGTGGCAGTGCCGGGTGTTGCTGTGCCACAGCAAGCGGGGACACCGACTGCGGCACGCTGCCGTGCTCACGGGTCACACATGGTGCAGAACCGTCCAGGGACGCAGGCTTGCTTCTGTGGGCACAGCGGGAGGAGGAGGGCTGCCTTTCCTTCTCAGGTACTACACGAGCAACCTCACAAAAACGGGTGCAGAGGGAAGCAGCCTGTTGTTGTGGTTACAAGTCTGTGTACTGGCTAAGCAGATAAGTCAAAGGCTTTTTATTTCTTACACATGTGTTTCTGGTGCTCTGCATCCCCTCCCCTTCAGCATCCATCTATATAACGTGTACCGATCACTCCTGTCTGTGAGTCTCAGACAATATATACATATATATATATATAGGTGTGCAATGGCCAGACTCTAACACAGCACCGGGTTTAGAAACGGGTCCGCGAAAGCAGAGGCACAGGGATGGGCAGTGGGGACATCTCCCGTCCCTCAGCCCTTGGCGATGGTGGTCCAGCCCTGGGGGCTCTTGGCCAGCCCAGGCTCTGGGCGTGCCAGCCCCGGCACAGAGGATGTTCGTGCAGATTGCTGGGATTTGCATAACTGAGCAGCGCAGGGACCGTGCTGCTCTGGGAGGATCGTCAGAGAGTGACTGTGGGCTGGGGGGACCCTGCGAGGGGAACACGGTTCTGTCTGCGAGAAGGGTCACCTTGAAGCTGGTGGCTGGCTAAAGGAAGGAGATACCCATGGTTCTGACGGCGATGCTGACTCTCTGAGTGTGTTTTCTGGAGAAAACACATGCAAGAGCACTTTAAAATCTCCACTGATGGAAAAGCGGCTTCAAGGGCCCCCAGGAAATGTTTGCTTCTTTGGTTTTTGCTAAAATTACTGGGGCAGAATTTAGCTCCAAGGGAGGAAGGGACAGTTTGAAAAGAAGTGAGATGTCAAAAAATAAGGGCAAAGGAAAGGATCTAGATTATAAGCCTGGATATTGTAACTCTGGAGTGTGACTTTACCCCACATTTCCTGGCCCGGAGGTACCTTTCAGAAAGCCTGGCAGCTCTCCCTGTGCGGCAGCGTGCCATCCCGGCCCCCTCCTCCTGCCTGCCCGGGGGTCTGCGGGGCTGCACCACAGCCCCCCCAACCCAGATGCAAAGAGCTGGAGCTGGGAATGACGCCTCGGTATGGGAAGCATCAATTAGATGATGTGAAACCAATCAAGAGTAAATCGCGAGATTCCAGTTCAGGCTCTACAGCTGGATCAGTGGTGGATGGAAAATCCAGACCCGCTGTAAGGAACGAGCCCCAGCTTCCCAGCACTCACAGCGTGTGCGCAGGATACATCTGGGTGTGTGGGGGGGATGAGTAAGTGATAGAACGGGTGGATGAGCTGAAGGCAGTCACCAGGAGGAGGACGGGAGCTCCATTACAGCCGAGACGGGCACATCTGTGCGCTGCGGAGCGCAGCAACTGTTGGGAGGCAGCTGCCAGGGAGAGCAGCGGAGCTGGAAAGCCAGAGAGCAGATGGGAAACGTCAACAAGTGGCCAGAACCCAGCAAGGCCGGAGGAGCTGGGCTGGGGTGGGAAGGCCTCGCTAGCTCTGTGGTGGCTTTCTACAGTGATGTGTTTGTCCAAGGGGGTAAAATAATGAACGGTTTGAGGTCTTGGTCGCTCCAAGGAGCCCAGACGGGAGCAGTGTGTGGAGTGTCATCTGTACATCCTTGTGCCAGCTCCTGTGGTGTTATTCGTGGGTTCCTAATCCATGGGGGTTTCTTACTAATCCAGTTTACTGCCCAGATTACCAGCACAGGGCCTTGCTGCTGCTGTGCTGCGGGAGCACGTTACCTTAAAGAACCGGGGAGCAAGACCTGGGCTGGCTTGGAGCTGTGTCCTCGCTCAGAGCTGCCTTGGAGAACAGAGGCTGGAGCTGCCCAAACCCTTTCCTGCTACCTAGGGATGCGCCATTAAAATCAGTACCAATGGTGGAGATGTCACTACAAATTGACTTTTGGTGAATGCACGGAGCAGAGTGTGAGGAGGGCAGTGTGGGGTGGGGCTGGGAAGCCTGTTTTTCTGTCCCATCATCCAGAAAAGAAAGAAGTGTTTCACCAGTGAAGGTGGCACCTTTAGATGTGCATTTCTTGATACGAGTGGAGATGTTAGGAAAAGGTGAGCTTTCCGAGCTTCCTAATTCTTCAGCAAACGTGCGTGCCAGCGGTGACTGAGCCACGAGGGTGACGGTGTGTGCTGCCCAGACCCCTCCGGTGTGATGCACCGGAGCATACAAGTGTGCAGAGAGGTTTGGGTTTGTGCCCCTTCCCAGCCTCTGAAAATATTTAACAGCTTTTTCCTGAGTAAAAATACACTATATAATATTGCTGAAATCCATGGGTTTGAGTCCTGAGAAAACCAACACACACACGAAACCAGGCAGAAGGAGTCAGAGAGACTTCCTTCCCCGAATCCCCCCTCTCCTCCATCTTCCTCACTCTGCGCTCCCAGTGATGAGCAGAGCAGATGGCACAATAAACTATAATAAACTGCGTAATAAGCGAACAGCACCAAACACAGCCAGCATGTTAAAATAATAGGCAGGAGACAATGAGTCCGTTATATTGCTTTCGTTAATAATCCCTCCCAGGCTTTCAGATTTCTCTGAGCACTTCCCTTCATTTTGCATCAAGCAGGCTGCAAGAGCAGTCTCTTTTCATGTGCTTGCTTTCTCAGCCCTTCGGGGGATTTATTTAATCTATGTGGTAGTGTCTTGCTGGGCTGATATGAGCACCGCTTCCACCGGCTGGTTTTTAGCATTCTTCGTGAGAGCATTTTCCTCTGCCTCATGTTGACCCTGAAACCTAAAGGCACTTGGAAATGAGGAGCTGGGGTGAGCAGCAAACCTCCTGGTCTGCGAAAAATGCCAGTAGAGGAACTCGGGGAGGAAGGAGAGACACGAAATGAATGGAAAATCACTGACATCTGGCTTGAAGTCCAAGAATTGCACATGATGCTTGTGAAGGGACAGAGGACACCATCCCTCCCCAGCTGGCCCGGGACTGGCTGCTCGCAGCGAGATGCAGGACTGCAGCACCGCTCGGAACGTCCCACCCAACCCGAGTGGTTGTACCCTGTCCTGGATGGGTGTGTGCGCACAAACCGGGGGGCATGAGGCAGCACTGGAGGGGGAGAAGATATTTCAAATCAGCAAGCATGAAAAGCTCGTACAGGGCTAAATGAACGGTGCCAGAAGTGGCCCAGAGCATGGTCCTGCCCGATGCCCTGGCTGGGGGAGACGCGAACGCTGCTCCGGATGGCTGCGGCGGGGGGCTGAGGGCTGGGGCTGCGCAGCCCCGGAGAGCAGCAGGACAACAGGCGTGCGACACACACGCTTGGCACTTTCTCCTTCCATAACATTGGTTCATTCTTACCAACAGCTACTTTTTGATACTTCCAGTTTTTCAGTGAAAATTACATTTTCTGCAGGAACCCCAGAGCATCCTTGAGAAGTGTACTTGATGTAGCTTCCAGTGCAGCTGTGGGTTGTGGACAGAGGGGAAGCTGTAGGTCTGGAGCCCTATCTGTGGGTACAACCCCCCCGTACCCATGGGTCCCTCGGTGGCCACTTCGGCTTCGCCCCCCGTCACCCCCTGCTCACCTGCTTGAGGATCTGAGCCGCCATGAGGTGGCTGCAGTCGAAGATGATACGGAATTCCCTGCCCCGCTTCATCTCCTTCAGCAGCGGCCGGGCGTCGTCGGTGTCCAGCGGGAGCTGGCGGATTTTCAGGCGGATATTGTACCTTGACGGGGCCATGATGAGCTCTTGCAGCCGTATCAGGCCTTTGGGCATTGCACAAAGACAAACCCACAGCGTTACGGGAAAGGCTGCCTTTGCCCTGCAGCCCGGGCATCACAGCAAGCTACCCCTGCCTGTGTTGTATCATGGAATGCAGGCAAGACCTTCCTCCCTCCCTCAAATGACCATTGCTAAAGGCATATCGAAGCCACGGTGTCATGTGTCAATCATTAAACCCCCAGATATTTCCAGAGCAGCAGCTCTAAGGCAGAATGGCTTTTCCTGGTGCTTCCCTGCTGCCCCTGCATCCAGCTGTGGTGGAGCTGGGGTCCCTGCACTGGGCAGGAAGGGAAGGATAGCAGATTGGTCCTAACCTTTGACATCTCTGGGATCATGAAATATTTTCATAAGCAAATATGCCCTTGAGAAAGGACAGAATGTGATAATTAGCTATACAGCAAATTAAAATCTGCAGTATTTACTGTGCATGACAACAAGGAAAAGAATTAATATGCACTTAGATTTAAGAATAGCATCATTCTTAATGGTCACTTAATCACAACTTGTAACTTTCTTGCTACCCTTAGGATTAATTTCTTTTTTATGCAGAGGGTACAAAGCCATGCTGGATGCAGCTGAGCGGGAATTACTGGTATCTAATGCTGCAAGAAGAAATTCAGCAGATGCCTATTGCAAGGAGGAAAAAAGAAGCATGTCCCCCTGCATAGTGAGAGAATACATTAGAATATGCCACGAAGGGAACATACTGTGACCCACATTTGCAAAAGAGGAATGTCAAACTGTGTTCTCATCAGCCCTCCCCTAAAGAAACCATTTGGTTTAGTGGAATTAGGTTGGACAGGCTAACCAATGTGTCTTTTGTTTTTTTGGGGCTTTTATCTCTAGTGCTGTGCAGTGCTTTGCTTTGTTTAACCATCAACAGCTTTCTTTACGTGAAAAACTTCGTCAGCTATGGTTTATAGAATTAGCCAGAAAACAAAAAACTTCCCTAATTTCTGGGAACCTGCACCCTCAATGGCAGGCACAGAGCAGATGGGCACCGCGGTGCCAGTACAGCTGAGCCCAGCCAGCCCACACCGGCAGACAATCAATCCTCCCTGGACCCTTTCTCAGCTGGGGTGGTGCTGAGGGTTACCCACTGTCTAAGCACTTTCTGAATGAAACGCTTCAGAAAGAATCCCAGGGGCCGCTTACTGCTTGGGGTGTCATTGTGCTCCTGACAGGGTTCATTAGAAAAGTTCCTAAATGAGACCCACAGCAAAAAATCTCCCGGCTTCCTCCTGCAAAGCCCCTCCTTCACCTACCTGTGCTGTCATCGTAAACCACAGTGGCTGACCTCCACTTCAAGTACTGCACGAGGTCCAGGATGGCGTGGCTGAGGGAGGCATAGTCCGGGTACAGGTTGACATAGAAAGTGTCCTTGTTATCCAAGGGGTGATGCTTCCATCGGAGCTGTATGTGGGGGACTTCCAGGGCATTGCAAATGGACTGGACGGCGTTGGTACAGGAGCCTTGGGAAGGTCCGAATATTGCTACGACCCCCAGAGCCAGCTGGTCACAGGCTGGAAAAGGGAAGGGAAGGGAAAAGGGAAGGGAAGGGAGAAGGGAAGGGAAGGGAAGGGAAGGGAAGGGAAGGGAAG